CATGTCTATTGTTCAAAGTGATAGTGATATAGATGAGGATGTTAATAGTAGAATTCAAGTTGGTTGGTTGAAGTGGAGGAATGCTTCAGGCCTTTTGTGTGATAGAAAAGTACCACTTAGACTGAAAGGAAAATTTTATAAGAGGGTGGTGAGACTAGTACTGCTCAATGGAGCTGAATGTTGGCCTTTTAAAGAGAAGCATGAAACTAAGTTAAGTGTTGTTGAGATGAGAATGATTAGGTGGATGAGTAGCTTTACACTTAGAGATAAAATACGAAATGATTATATTCATGATAGGTTTGGTGTAGCCCCAATGATGGACAAAACTAGAAAAAGTTGTCTTAGATGGTTTGGTCTTATTAAACATTGACCATCTGATGATCCGATTAGGAGAGCAGATGTTTTAGATTTGACTTATGTTAAGAAAGGCTGAGGTAGACTTGGGCTTATTTTATAAAAAATGATCTTAATATATTAGAACTAAATGAAAATATGATACTAAATAAGATGCAATGGAAAAAAAATGAATCATGTAGCCGACCCCTCGTGGTGGGATTAAGGCTTTGTTGTTGTTGTTGTTGTTGTTGAAGTACAAATAGAGAGTGAGATCAATCTCTTGAAAAACAACTTATACCTCGAATCGCTACGAATTTCCTGAGGCGTTTGAGAAAAAGATGGGTCTAGTGGTTTGACAAAGTTCATAGTCATTTTAACCAAAGTGTTTACCCCAGCGTGGAAATACTTGGTTCTCGTCTTTGTAGAGTGCTGGATCAAACAAACTGTGCCGGTAATGCCTTATTTTACAAATATGTCTCTGGTAGTTTCATGAATTTGACAAACAATGCTGGTAAGGTAATGATTGTCACTTGCTCAACTATCTCTATAATCTTCTCTTCATTTTGTGGCTCCATTTGCGTGAAAGAATAATGTTAAACTTATTTTAAAAAAACATGTTATTCTCAATGCAGGTAAATGCTAAACTTGCGCGCAATGAAAATAGTTTAACCACGGAAATCCACAAATGATTAAATGTCAAAAATAATAGACAGAAGCCATATTTTATAATAGAAATGTCAAATAATACAAAGTCACTCTGCTATAGGAGCAACAAGTAAAAAAAAATATGCATGTCATCTAACTAGTCCGACTCTCTAAAAAATAACAGAGGTAAGGAATCCTCCATTTAGGGAGCAGCATGAAGAAATCCTCTCGCTTGTTTAGATCCTTCAGATGTATTATGGGCAGTACTTTTTATATGTGAAGAAGTGATGGACCTAAAAATGTACTATTTTGTATGTTATATTTTATAATGATATTGCACTTTAAATGTATGTTTTCTTGTGTTTCTGGTTGTAGGTACATCAAATTGAAGAATTTGGAGTGATTGGAGCAAAAGGAATAAAAATGAACCAAAACAAAGCAAACTGGAGCAAATCGGGGCACACCGGAGTCATGCAGACCTAAACCGAACACTTAAGTGCTTATGCCCGGCGCTTAGGCGCCACCAGACAGAGAGGGGGTGCTTAAGCGCCCAAAAACGGCGCTTAGGCGCCAAAGACGGTTTTCAACATATCTTCTAGAATATACATCGGATTTGGACGATTTCTGAAGCGGTGCTTTGTGCATCTCTTGGGGAATTCGTTGGAAAGGATAAAATGGACTTTCTAGAAAGATTTGAGGCGTTTATAAGGAGTAATTAAGAGGCACTTGAGACACCTTTTGGGAAGAATCATTGATTCTGGACATTTTTTAAGAGACACTTAAACATCTCTTGGGAAATTATAAAAAAAGGCTTGAAAATGTTTTAAAATAACTCTTGGACTTTGAAACTAATTAGAAGAGGAGAAGAAGACTTGGAGAAGAGGAAGAAGGCTTGGGTGTGAGCCCCAAGTGGGGCGGCAAGATGAGAGAGAAAGAGATAGAGTGAGAGATTTCTTCTTTTCTTTTCACTTTGTTCTTGGAGAAGATTGTAAAGAGATTGTTTTTATTATACAAGAAGAGTTTGATTTACATCTGAGATAGGTATTTTCATTGTATTTTGATTTGAATTTAATAGTTTTTTTGTATGGTTTCAAAGTCTTGTTCAATGAAATGTTCTTGTTGTTTCTCCATTTGTTGTAAGTTGTTTCTTTACTCTTCCCTCTTATAATGAATTACTATGCATGTGTAGGATATAGAATTGAGTAGAGTGAAAATATGCTATGATGATTTTACTTTGTTCTTCATTTACATGTAAGCTTGATCAGCTTGCATGTTAAAATCTATTGTGAGAACATGTAAGATCTGGGATGGTATTGTCTCAATCAACTGTGGTAGAATCACATGAGATTGTATGGATGAGAATGTAGTCCATATAGTTGAGTGCAAATTAATAGAGAAATTATCTTTAATGGTTGTATAATTAGAGGACTTTGCAGTGACAGGCTAAAGCCCCTTAATTTGGTCTATTGTTTTAGGTTTTGATGTGAGATGTTAGCCTCTAGGTAGAGGAATAAGAGGGAACTATATAGTGAGAGCTAGTATCTTCTCTGCCTAGCCCGTCTTCAAAATTATTCAAACTTTAGATTAACCAATGTTCTTTATAGCATCTCTAGTAAGGGTAAGGAATATAATTGCTCCTTTTTTTTCACAATCTCTCTCACTACTTGTTTTACTTTTACACATGTCACTAATTTCATTGCATGAGGAAGAGTACTTTTAATATATTAAACCCCACTTTTTGATTTTCACTAAGTATTTTAGTTTAATAGTAGAAGTAGTATTGTAGTGATAATTGTAGTATATAATCAAAATTAAACTTTTATCGACCTTCCAAGTTAAGGTGTGTTATTCTAGGAACTCTGGAGGGGGAGCGTGTATTTTCCTTGCCTAGCCCGTCTTAAAAACTATTCAAGCTTTAGATTAACCAATGTTCTTTATAGCATCTGTAATAAGGGTAAAGAATATAATTGCTTTTATCTGTCACAATCACTCTCACTACTTGTTTTACTTTTACACATGTCACTAATTTCATTGTATGAGGAAGAGTGCTTTTAATATACCAAACCCCACTTTTTTATTTTCATTAAGTAATTTAGTTTAAGAGTAGAGGTAGTATTGTAGTGGTAATTATAGGATAAAATCAAAACCAAACTTTTATTGACCATCCAAGCTAGGCTGTGTTATTCTAAGTTAGAATTTCTCTTGAAAGTTATCGTGATTAACCTCGATCTCCGTGGGATCGATATTCAGGGCTTAATCCAAAAGCCATATATTACTTGATAACGATACGTATACTTGCGTAGAATCCCTACAAATATAATTGAAATCTTACTTTACTTGGGATCAAGTTTTTAGTGTCATTACCGGGGATTAAAATATTCAAGTAGTGGTGTCAACTTCATAAATCCTTACATATAAGAAACTATCGGGATCATTAAGTAATTAGAGGGGTATGTCATAAAAAATTTCTGGAATTGAGTGGAGTAGCTTGACAACATTTGTCATTATTCGACATGCATGGAGAGTAATACTGGTGCAGTTTTTCACCAGCAATGATCCAAGGCCGAGCATGAAACCGCGTCATCAAATCTGGGATAGGTTCAAGTTCTGGAGATGGTTTCCCTATTGGTAGTGATCCATTAACAGGAACCAATTTCTCTCATCTGTAACAAGAGGCAGAGAAGCGGATAGAAGAAGAAGAGGAAGAAGGAGAAGGATACAGTAAGAGAGAGAGCTTCAATGGACGCCGCTGCGGTGGCTCGTTTGGGGAGCACGAGATCAGGAAACTCTTCCATTTGGAAAGCCGATGAAATCTTTTCAAGATCGGCGCACGAAGAAGATGACGAGGAAGCCCTAAAATGGGCTGCTCTCGAGAAGCTCCCTACCTACAACAGGTTGAGGAAAGGCTTACTCACCATGGCGGAAGGAGGGGGGAAGGAGATTGATATAGAAAACCTAGGATTTCAAGAGAGGAAGGAGTTGTTGGAGAGGCTGGTGAGAGTTGCGGAGGAGGATAATGAGAAGTTTCTGATGAAGCTTAGAGACAGAATGGATAGGTATGCAATTAATTACTATTTGCTGAATCAATTGCTCAGATTGCTTCATTTCTTTTTGTAATTAGTTAATTATTAAATTTCTTTTGTTTGTGCTCATTTTTAGGGTTGGGATTGAGCTTCCAACCATTGAGGTGCGGTATGAGCATCTCAGTATTGAAGCGGAGGCATATGTGGGTGATAGAGGATTGCCTACACTTTTTAATTCTTTCATCAATATTTTTGAGGTAATCATTAATTTCTTTTAGTTTGCGAATGCTTAATTAAGAGATTAGAAGATGAAATTTTAAATTACAGGGACATGGATACTGACGTTGATTTTTTTTTCTATGTTGCTTGATCAAGAGCATTGCAAATCGCCTACATATATTGCCAAACAAGAAGAAGCCTCTAACCATCCTTCATGATGTCAGCGGAGTCATCAAGCCCCGACGGTATATCCAACATTAATTTCAATTTATTGCGTTTCTTTGAGATATCTTTCTGTTAGTGTTTTATTATTATTATCATTATTATTAAACGTAATTATGTTGATATTTGGTCAATGATTTTTTAATCGAGTTTCCAGAAGTTCTGTTGTCCGCAATAATTTTCTATGACTGATTAATTTCTTGATCATGCTATATTGAAGACGTAACTACTTTGCCCGCTGTAACAGAACCAAATTCAAGGAGAGAGGCGTGGCCAAATAAAAAAGAAAGACTTACAAACATACCACTCAATTTTTTTATATTTACATATACGACCACAAAGCCTCAATTTTAACATATACGCCCCTTTTTTTATGCGTGAAAATGTATATTTCACTTTTTAAAAATTTAAAGTAGTGGAATTTTTTATTGTGATATGAAATATTTTGGATGATCAAAATTTAGGTGATTTAATTAGAATATCGGAACTCCAATATCTTCCTAAAATTAGATAAATACAATCATTTCTCCATTCATGCATGAGTCATCAAACAAGAACATACATAATTAAAAACTTCAGTTACATGTATCTCAAGGATAAACTGTCAATCAAAACAATATTTTAATGAAAAATTTTGCATAAATATCATTCAATTCTCATGTATTTATACATGTAAGACCTAAACTTCAATTTTTACATAAGTACCATCTTACATATATGTACATCAGGAATGTGCTTACACGAATCTTGAGGAGAAATAGCTTGAGACAGAGAATATAAACTGTTCGCGCAAACGATCGGTCAATCTCATAGGACGACCGGGTGAGCACCACAACTTGTTCGGTATTGTATAGCCCGGTCCACTGACTAAATTGGGCGGATTCTGCGTCTATGATATATATATTGGTGTATTAATTGTTTCTTTATTTATTTTTTCCTTTTCCTGGAAAGAATTAGCTGTGCCTTCCCTGGCTTGGACCCCTGCCTCTTTAATTGAACCAGAAAAGTCGGTTGCCATTGCCTTATATGAATACAGGAAGAAATTAATTCACTATGAATACAGGAAGAAAATTAGTGTGAATATTTCCAGGATTCTCCTACATATATATATATAGACTCTTCACGGAAGGAATTAATTAAAGGCATTTATTGTTTCCTTAATGGGCTCCTCTCTTCCTGCTATTAAAACCGGATGTTTGGCTCTCCCTTGGAGGTATTCCTGTTGGCGTTGGCTTGCTCTCCATAAAGTTGGATGTTTATTTTATCATAAAATGATTAACATAAAATGACTTATTTTCACATTCAGTCTTGTGGAGACTGATGATCATTGTAAATCACCGAATGATGTAGGGTTCGTCGAACAAGTTATCGCCGACCGAATGAATTCCAAACAAACAAATTGGACAATTAGAGATGTAAAGCAGTGTTCAAGGCAGTTATAGAAGTTTAGCGGCACTATCCTCAGTTATGGTGATATATTAGTTACAAATGTATGAATGTATTATAATAATATTTCATTTTTTAATATGGGAAAACCTGAAAACTTACAACTCGTACATACCTATAAGTAGGAAGAATACCTATAAGTAGTAGGAAGGATAAATAATATAAGAGAAATTTACATACATACCACCCAAATCCCATTCTTATCTATTTACATATCTTACTCCTAAACTTTAGTTTCGAAGATTTATATACATTCAACTCAATTATATGTATTTACATAACGAACACTTAAATTTAAATCTTTACACTTCACCATCTCTTGTATGAAAAAGTTATAGCCCCCGCCTAAGAAAATAAATATTAATAAACATAATAATAAATAGTAAATTACACCCCATGTCTCCAAATTTATTTCTTTCACTGTGCCCCTGCGCCGTTCCCTCTGCGCCCACCTCGCAGCCGCCTGTGCTCGCGTGGATCCATAATCGATCCCAGCTGAGTAAACAATAACAATGATCAAAGCTCCTCCTTTCCTCTCAAACTCTTCTCCGGCGACACAAACGCCGTTATCTCGCCTCATACCTTCACTTCCCGACGACCTAGCCATCCTCTGCATTGCTCGAGTCCCGCGATCGCATCATCCCTTCCTCGCAGCTGTATCACGTGCCTGGCGCTTCTTACTTCGCTCCCCTCTTCTTTTCTCCGTCCGCCTCGAAGTCGGTGCCTCCCAGCACTTCCTCTTCATCAATTTCCACCCCCCCGATGGCCAATCTCATCTCGCTGGTATCTCCACGATAGTCTCCGCCGGAATCATTCCCCTCCTCTCATCCCCCTACCCGCTTCGCCCCTTACCCCTACCTGCGGATGCACCGCTGTCGGTCTTGGTCACTCACTCTTCCTACTCGGGGGCTCCTTCCCCTGGCTTGGACCCCTGCCTCTTTAATTGAACCAGACAAGTCAGTTGCCATTGCCTTATATGAATACAGGAAGAAAATTAGTGTGAATATTTCCAGGATTCTCCTACATATATATATATAGACTCTTCACGGAAGGAATTAATTAAAGGCATTTATTTTTTCCTTTACGGGCTCCTCTCTTCCTGCTATTAAAACCGGCTGTTTGGCTCTCCCTTGAAGATATTCCGGTTGGCGTTGGCTTGCTCTCCATAGAGTTGGGTGTTTATTTTAACATAAAATGATTAACATAAAATGATTTATTTTCACATTCAGTCTCCACAAATTGGGGGACTGATGATCATTGTAGACGACCGAATGATGTAGGGTTCGTCGAACGAGTTATGGGCGACCGAATGAATTCCAAACAAACAAATTGGACAATTACAGATGTAAAGCAGTGTTCAAGGCAGTTATAGAAATTTAGCGGCACTATCCTCAGTTATGGGATCTTAATAAATGATATATTAGTTACAAATGTATGAATGTATTATAATAATATTTCATTTTTTAATATGGGAAAACCTGGAAACCTACAACTCATACATACCTATAAGTAGTAGGAAGGATAAATAATATAAGAGAAATTTACATACATACCACCCAAATCCCATTCTTATCTATTTACATATCTTACTCCTAAACTTTAGTTTCGAAGATTTATATACATTCAACTCAATTATATGTATTTACATAACTAACACTTAAATTTAAATTTTTAGCCCCCGCCTAAAAAAAAAAAAATTAATAAACATAATAATAAAGAGTAAATTACACCGCTGTCGGCCTTGGTCACTCACTCTTCCTACCAAGGGGGCTCCAACCAAGGCATTCCTTCTTCTCCCGTTCTCCAAATATACGATGCACGATTTAATTGCTGGCGCCTCGGCCCCCCTATGTTTGCTTCCCGCGAGTTTGCCGCTGCCGGTGTGGTTTCTGGCCGGATCTACGTCTTAGGGGGCTGTCTGCCCATCAATGAATATTGGGCCGAGGAATTCAACCCGGAGAAGGAGCAATGGCGGCGAATCTCAAGCCCGCCAGAGATTCGAGAGAAGCCGAATGAAGCGGATGCACGGGAATGCAGTTATTGGGGGAAAGCTGCTTGCGAAGGCGGATCAGGGCGACGTGGCATTCGATCCCGCTGTGGCTGCGACAGAGGTAGCATTAACTCAGGAGAAGGCATGGAGTAATTTGCCTGCAACGCTGGATTTGGGTGGGAGGGGTAGGACGGCTGCTGTGGGGGAAGTTATGTACTGGTATAACTACTGGGGGAGTATCAAAGGGTATGATTTCACCAAGAATGAATGCAAGAGAGTGGAGGGACTGGATAAGGAGCTACCAGATTTTATAGATGCGGCAGGACTGGCCAATTTGGGTGACCTGCTGGGTTTGGTTTGGGAAGGCTGGATGAGGGAAGAGGGAATGGAGGTCTTTTGTGCAGGAGTCAAGGTTACGAAAACAAACGCCGGGGGTTTGCAGGGATCAGTTGAGTGGTGGGAAAAGTTTGTTTTGGAATTTGAAACGGGAACATTGATTCCTCATTGCATCTCGCTGGAGTTCTGAACCTGAAAAATGGTTGACTGTTGTGGGCCTTTTTTCCGAATGCTTTTATTTATTGCTTACTCCCTTTATTCATCTAGATTTGTACTTTTCATGCTCTGATCATTTGTTGCTTGGAATTGTACTTATCAATCCAATCACTTTTGTAATTTTCATTTTTTGATCTCTTGTTTCAGGGAATTTTGCAAGTGCGCTTTGCCTCGTAATGCATGCATGCTTTTGCTTGTGTGTTAGGGCATGTTAAGTAGAATTGAGTCATGTTAAGTTGCTTTTGTAAGGTTGTCATGTATATTTTATATGAGACTTATAGAAATATGTGAAATTTTTTTTGTATGATTTTGTATTTTTATAGTTGTAGACTCTTAACCTCTTTTCCCATGTATGGCTTTGTTGATCTTCATAGTTTACCGTAACATTTATAATATGAAAATGAGAAGTTTATAGATAGTAAAAAGGATCCAGATATGATTTTTATTGATTTTGAAAATGCTTGCGATAAGGTTCCAATAGATATCCGTTGGAGAGTTCTTGAGCATAAAGGGGTTGATATGATGTATATTCAAGTCATTAAAGATATGTATACTAGAGTTGTTACTTATATTTTAACCGGAGGAGGATTGACCAAATATTTTATTATTTCTGTTGGACTACATGAGGGATCAACTTTAAGCTCATATTTTTTTGCTTTAGTTATGAATGCTCTTTCTTGATATTTGTAGGAGGATGTACAGTGGTGTATGTAAATCTTATCAATTGTCATTTTTAACATTTCATGAAAAGTCCAATAATCGCATGTGCACACAACATATGATAGATTTGTGCTTGATTATAAAAGCATCTACATTCTACTACGGATGTAATGTTAACACAAAAAAACTCAGCATAATATATCAAAAACTTGAAACTCACACATATTTATACAGTTCAACCCTTTATATATTCCCACGTCACACTCATTTTTTTATCACAATATCATCATATGTGCAGAAAATGACGACTCATTCATTGGTAAATACTGCAATCTATATTTTAAATCTTGACAAATAATGCAACAATGTTGAAGTAAATTATGCTAACAAG